TCTCTGATGGCTCTGAAGATGGACATGCTGCTGGAGGTTGGCAATACATGCCAGCGTGCATGCAGGTTTTTTCCAGGGGTGGCTAGACACTGCCACCATGGGCCATTTCTGGAGTGGTGTGTGGCAATACACCAGAGTCACAGCCACCTCGGTGCGATCAATGGCGAGGCTTGCCCACCTGGCCACCCCTAGCCAGCCGTGCTGTGGGCGAAAAAGGCAGGGGCAGCAGCAGCAGCTTCCCCTTCCCAGTGCCTGCATGAGGAGAGGCATTCAATGGCGCTGAGGCAGCAGGGCTGCATGGCTGGCAGCAGAAGCGTGACGAGCAACTCCCTGATGTGGAACCCAGACGAGATCAACTTCGTGGCACTGTGGGATCCTGTAGGAATCTTTGAATTAGTGGGACTTGTTGACAATGGTACCTACAAGCAACAGTTTTTCTTCTAGCCGGAGAAGAGAACAAAGTAAGGACTCATGAGGGAAAACAACATGGCAGCACCAAGGTCAGTGGTAAAAATAGAGGAGGAGAAGGTGCTTCAAGTGTCACAGCCAAGATTCCTCTGCAAGCTGTAGTGAGGACTATGGTGAAACCAACTGTCCCCTTGTAATGCATGAAGTCCATGGGGGATGAAGAGATTCACTTGCAGCCCGTGGGAAAAGTGCTCACACCAGGGTGGATGGATGTCAGAAAAAGCTGTGGTCTAGTGAGAGACCTGAACAGAGAGAGAGGGCCCCTGCTTCCAAACCAGAGCAGCCTATCCTTAAAAGACTGCACCCCGTGGATGAGTGACTAGCGCCACAACAGTTTTGGGATGACTGCTTGCCCGTGGGAGGGACCTCATGGCATAGCAGAAAAAAGACTCCTCTCCCTGAACGAACAGAAAGAGACCCTGAGTGACGAACTGACCAAAGCCCCTATGTCTCCCTGCGTTGTCACTGGGAAGGAGGGAGGTGCTGGGGAGGAAAGAAGGTGTTTTAAGTGCTTATTTTACTTCTCATTATCTCCCTCTGACTGTTAATAATAAATTTACTTTATACCTTTAAATTTAAACCTGTTTTGCCCTTAGAGTGCTTTTCTCCTAGTCCTTAGCTCATGAGCCCTTCATTAATTTTTTTCCCTCTCCTTTGCCCAACTATAGCAGGAGAGGGTAAGCAAACGACTCTTGTGGGTGCCTGGCGTTTGGCCAGTGTCAAACCATGACGTATGGCAACTTAACCTTTAATATTACCTGCAGCTACAATGTTATCTGCAGTGGGTTGTTGGACATAACAAATGCTACATATAGCGTCCATATGCAGATACCATTGCAGATGCTGTCACATGTGTTGATAGCATTGCACAATTCTGTGGAGACAGCAACATTATTACAGATGTACACGTATAGCACACCAGGGCTCAGCACTGCTCAGACCAAATATATCCAATACCACACCATGTATGATGCTTGCTCCCCTCCACACTCTCATGTTCTCCTCCTCTTTAGTACAGGAGAGACATCAGCCAGTAGGGGACACTGCTGCAGAGGAAGGATACACAGGCACTCACTGCCCAGGGAGATGCTAAGGGCACAAAGCACCTCAGCCTGGGCAGAAGGCTTCAAGGCTTTATACAGCTCACCAGGACTCTGTGGGGCTTCAGCCAGACTTTTTTTCTGGTAGCTGGCAGGAGGAGACACCATGGATCACAGTGAAGAGGTGAGACCCAGCAATGTTCCTTCAGCCTGCAGCAGCCCCAGCTGAAATGATCACTAGAAGACACAGCCCATACTGCATTTGTTGAACATGCCCGAAAGAAATCCATTTATTGCCTCTGACACTCAAGCAGCTTCAACATGGACCTGACAACAGCCTTCCCTTACTCTCTTGCAGAAGAGGATAAGGAGCCACCAACAACTGCAGTGGAGCAGTTTATATCTCCAGACCCCACTACAGAACACACTCTGCACTTGCTTTTTTCAGTGACACCACTCCTTTAGCAATGGGCAAACAGATGTGAGCCAGGCAATATATAAAACAGAAAAAACAGAGGCAAGCAAGTCTCACATGTCAGCACGTTTCTGCTATCCTTCTGTTACTAAACCCCCCAACATTGTCAGGATAAATAAAACTCTCTAACACTGTCTTTTCAGTGTTAACAAGAAAGGCATTACTTTATCCTTGGTCAGAGGCGTGTGCATGGCCAAAAAAGTTCCAGCGTCCATACAGACATTGATACAAAACTTTTTCACTACATTGTTAACAAACAAAGGAATTAATGTTCATTGGTTCTAAATTACATAACTCTCATAATTAGTATTCTATCTCCTATTAGCTGCTAAATTCTTGCTTCTTATGCTAATTAGTCCATATTTTTAGTCTTTTTACTATCTTTTTCCTCCAGTAGGCATTTTCCAACACATATACTGAATCTTTGTTAGTCCTTTATCTTCCGGTTTCTGCAAAAGATCCTTGTAGTCTATAAATTCTGCACTCTAGATGTCCAGCTTCAACAATGTATCTCTCTCTCCCAGGCTTTTTTTCATTGAAACACATCGGAGTTAGTTTAGCAAAATGTAAAATTTCAGTAATTTTCCCAAGCTGTGTTCCCATAAAAGGAGCATATGACAACTTTACTAAATACTGGCTAAAAGTGATTTAAGACTAATACACTACTTATAACTTACATGCTGGTTATGACAAATTTTTAAAAATAATTAGAAGTTAATTAAAATCATTAATTTAAAAATTAGAAAAGTTATATAATTTCCAGCAATTGGGCCTAGGAAATGGAGTAGCCAAAAGCACACAGGTGTATCTGACTGTAAAAATGAAAGGTAAAAAGAAGCAAAAAGTCCTGGGGAACCAGAGGTTCTAGCTAAAATGACACTTCCTGTCTCAATCCCCAAAGACCCTGTCCATGTTTTCTTTGTTTGGACAAGGAAGGATAAAAAAAAAAAGAAAAATAAAAATTAAAAGAGGGCAAGAATATTATTAAGAACAACTTGTATTCCAAGATTAAGTAACTCATGTCTTGTAGACAGACACAGATGCTATTGTAATTACTGTTGTAAATGTAGGTATCATTTCAGACTCCATTTCCTCTGCAGATACCATTATAGATTAAGATTTCATGGCAGAGGGAAATGCTTCTGCAGATGAGTACCACAATGCAGTTAGCATCACACATAGCATTCGTAACTTGTATCTAAGCTCTGTCTTCCAGCAACCAGGCATGTTATGTGACCATCTGCAAAGGTTGAAGATATTCCTCCTACCTGACTCCCAAGGCAGAATGGTGGACACTACTTTGAGACCCAAGGCTGCAACTCCAATGCAGAGGTCTGCACCATCTACCCTGGCTACTGCCAGTGCCTCCATCAAGACAGAGCTGCCAAATGAAGAGGCTGCAGTGCGGATCTCTCATTGCAGGAAGTTTATAGATCTATTGCTAGTCTAGGGACAGGCATCAGACCTACCTGCAAAAGGTGTGCCCAGGTGGAGGACTACCTGTGGAAAATGGTTGAGAAAGGCAAGAGGCAGTGAGAAGGCTTCACAGTGTCAGGAAGGCTGAGAAAGAGTTCTTCCCCATGAAGGAGAGAGTCTTCTGGTTCCAAGCACAGTTTGCAGTAGATCGACAGCCCAAAGCCAAACAGCAACAGACTCCCCCATGACACACAGAAAGGAAGAGGACCAAGAGAACACACATAGAAGGGAAGAGGGCCAGTGTGGAAGAATGGAAACTTTGAACCGCAGAGACCTGCAGGAAGAACAGTCTTCCCCCAAAGCCACAGGTGCTCTTGCAGAACCTTTCAAGAAGACAGAGGTGCCCTTGCACCTTGCACCTTTCACTGATCTACAGGAAAGACTCAGCAGGAGAGGCGCTGAAGATGAGTAAGGCAGCCCCATCTACTCCCCATATAACAACCAGTAAGGCAGCATAATCTGCTCCCCATATAACAATCATCACAACTAAGAAGAGGGTAACAGTAGGAAGAAACTCTCTTCTGAGAGGTGTGGAGACATTATTTACTGGCCTGCTGCACTCTCTAGATCATGCTGCTTACCATGGACTCATATCAAAGATGTCACTGAGAGACTATCATGCCTTTCATATTCCACCATTACCTGCTGCTGTTGTTTCATGTGGGTGCCAGTGATACAGTCAAGAGCAGTCTGACCAGCATCAAGAAGGATTACAGAACCCTGGGAGCAGCAGTAGATGCTGACTCTGGAGCACACAGGTAGTTTTTCCATCAATGTTCCCAGTCAAAGGGAAGGAGTTTGAAAGGGCCAGTCGAATCTGGGAAATCAACAAGTGGTTACAGAACTGGTGCCACAGCCAGGGGTTTGGCTGCTTGCTTAGAACATACATCAGACTTGCTCTGAACAACCTGGTCTACTGAGGGCAGATGGAATCCATCTGTCGGAAAAGGCAAAAAGCATCTTCACTCACAGGCTTTTCAAGCTGGAGAAGAAGGCTTTAAACTACAATTGCTGGGGAAGGAGAGCCTTAGTCCATCCCATTTCTATCACAGACAGCAAGCAATGTCCTGGGCCTCAAGGCATCCAGGTCCAGATGGGCCTGCATCCAGACACAAGGGCTACTCCAGCATCGTGTGCATAGAGTCATTTTATTACCACCTCAGCCCCTTCTCAGAAGCTGTGGCCAATGCTCCTCCCCATTTTCTCTCCAGAAGCCAATGGAATTATTTTCTGTAAGTGCTCCTGCAAATCCTAAGGGGGAAACAGGCTTGAGCAGCAGAATAAGCCGGATCCAGTGCAGACTGCAGTGGGCTATGACCATTTGCTGCTGGGGTATTGCCTGCTGATCCTCGTTGACATTTTGCAAGGAGAGATGGTGATGTGGCAGTGCAGCCAAAGCAAGGGCTGTGCAAAAGGACAGGAGATGAGTTTGGCTGCTCAGGAAACCACAGCTCCCTTCCCACAACTGTGAGTGCTGATAGAGGGCTGGGCAGCACCCTGCTAGCACTGTCCCATAGCACTGCCTGGTCCGCGGGCAGGAGGAGGCAGAGCAGCAGGAGAGCAAACGCTGGAAGATCTGCAGGTGAGTCACAGTGTTCACAGGGGCCTGGTTGCTCGTGGAAGACACATCTGTGCACAGGAAGCTCCTTTCACATAATTCATGTTCCTACCCTCCAAATCTAAAAGAGGATTCAGCTGGTGTTGGGTAAGAGCATATTCAGGGAGATTATTCCAGCACATGATTTGTCTGGGTTGAGCTGAATGTGGGAACTTTGGAACACAAACACTGCAGAAGCATAGCTTTTACAGTGGTGAAGGCAGCAATGCTGCCCCAGTGGAGAAGGCATTGCTATGAAGAGGCAATGAGTCAGTGGGTTTCATAGTGGGTTCTCCCCACTATGGAAGAGAACGAGGAGAACAAAAGGGCCAAAATGTCATCTGCTGGCCTCCAAGGACAAGACGGCAGTAGGTGTGGGATTCATCCCTCCCTTCCACTATCCCAGGGAGGGGCTGCAGAGCTCAGAGGGTGACAGAGGGTCTGGCAGGGGATGCCAGTTTTGCAAAAACTGCAAATATTTTGCAAATAGTGCTTGCGCGGGAAGAAAAGCAATGTGTAGGTGCATGCCTGCTTGCACCCACACCCTTCGGTTCTCCCCCTCCAGGCCATGCAGGTCCCTGCCCTGATCCTGGTCACTCTCCTGGTCCTGCTGCCCCCAGCCCAGCCCTGCCCCTCAGAGATGAACAAGGTCAAGGATCTCCTGGAGGTGAACTGCACTGGGCAGGCTCTCAGCTCAGTGCCCCTAGACCTGCCTGCAGACACAGGCATCCTGCTGCTCAGCAACAATCGCCTGGAGTCCCTCTCCACCGCTGCCCTTCTGCCCCTCACCCAGCTTCAGGACATCGACCTGGCCAACAATGGCCTGGTGGCTCTGTACACGGGGGCCCAGCTGCCATCCCTGAAGGAACTGATCCTCTCTCATAATGCCCTGGTGGCCCTACCGGTCCTGGAGGGGCTGCCTGCACTCACCCACCTGGCTGTGGCCCACAACAGCCTGGAGAGACTGGCCCCCGGAGCTTTCCGCACAGTGCCACAGCTGCAGAACCTGGACTTGCGAGGCAACAAAATGCAGCAGCTGCCCCAGGAGGCCTTTGCAGGGCTGAGGGCACTCAGGGAGTTGGACCTCTCAGACAACTTCCTGAAGGAGCTACCCAAGGAGTTGCTGCAGGACCTACAAAAGTTGGAGACTCTCTGGCTCTCAGGAAACCAGCTGCAGACACTGCCCACTGACTTTTTCCCAAAGGGGCACATTTTCATGTATGTTTTCCTCACTGAGAACCCCTGGCATTGCAACTGTGACCTGCACTACCTCCAGACCTGGATCCAGAAGAATGCTGACATTGTTTATTGGCCAGAGAGGGGCCTGGAGGAAACAAAGGTGGAGGTCGCACCTGAGAAGGTACTGTGTCACAGCCCTGCTGAACATAGGCAGAAGCCCATCATTCACTTCAAGCTTAACTGCAGCATCACGGAGGATGCAGAAGAGGAAGGAGGGGATGAATACAATTATGGAGAAGAAACAACAGAGAAAGCTACCATGATCACCTTCCCCCCACATCCATTCATCCCCAAAGAGCATACTACCATGCCCTGTGCTATTACCTCATCTTGCCTTCCTACCCTCACTACCACAAGATCTCCCCTCACGCAACCTTCCTTCATCACCCCTCGTATCTCCACCCTTTCCCCAAGCACTTTGTTTGTGATGCTGACAAGCGTCAGAGCTCTCAGCACCACCACTCCTGTACCAGCCAGTCCCACTGTAACACCCGCACAGACTCCCAGCACTGCCACCATTCTCACTGCTGCTACCACCATCTCCCTGCACAGACCTGCCACCCTTGACAATGCCACCTCACTGCCAACGACTATGAGCAGCAGTCCTTCTAGTAGCACCAGTCGCCATCCGCATACTATCCTTGCTGCCAGCACTATCCATGGCACTCTCATGGGCTCCACTAGCACATTTCCCACCACTTCTATAGCAGTTCCTTCTACTGCCATGCTAGAGGCATCTTCCAGTGTCAGATCTCCATCTCCTCCTCCAGTGTCGGCCAACACCATGCTTTCCACTCATGCTCCAACACCACCACCTCCCCTGGACACCACACATGTCACCCAGCCTGCATGTTCCCCACTACCTGCTCCTCCTCCCCTCTGCCCATGCTCCATCCCAGGACAGGCTGTACCCATGCTGCGTTTGCAGGCCGGTGGGGAGGGTCCACAGTGGGGACAGTGGGTGCTGAGGCACTGCTGCCTGTTGCACTGGGTGCTCTACCTGGCTTCCTTGGCTCTACTAGTCCTGACCATGCTGGCTCTAGCAGGTTGGCTGGCATGGATGTGTCTGGTGGGACAACCTTCCAGGCACAAGTCTCTGCAGACCCAAGAGGTACAGTATCCACTGCTGGAATGGAGGGAGTCAACAGGAAACCCTATGATGCATCTCAGCAGCTTCAAAGTCCCCCTCCAGCGACCCACATTCTGTACAATCAAGGAAGTGGAGTTGTGCCCTGAGGTTACCTACTGCACAATTAAAGATCTGGGGATACAGCACAGTCCTCCTGCAAGTTACTCCTTCTGCACCACAAAGGAGTTGTGGGTTCACCAAAGTCCTCTGCACACATCAGTCAAGCCTTTCTCCAGGAAGCTGATGGTCACAGACCTTGGCTTCCTGAGGACCCCATCTGCTTACAGCCTAGACAGGGGTGTCAAGGCCATCGGTGACGTCAGAGTGAAATATGGCGGTAACACCATGTAAATGTTTCTGTACAGAGAAAGAGATCGAGAGTTGTGCCTCTGCTTTATATGCTTTGTTTTACAAGGGAAAGATCTACTTGCCTAGAGGGAAGCCATCCAGCTCCTTCCTCTAGTATTCTCAAAAGCCTGAGGTTTCCAGAGCTAAAATAATTACTTGGGTGTTTGGCAGAGGAAGATAATGTCCTAAACTAGTCAGTGATAGTTCGGGACTGACAGTGCCTGGTTTTGGGGTGAGTGAGGGCAAGCAGAACTTGTGCTCTGTTGCAACTGCTTCTGTTCAAATTATGCACACAAAGATGCAATACACTTTCTACTCAGTGGCAGGTTCTTAATCACATAATAAATATTCTGTGCTTGAACTTAAAAGGGGTGCTGGTTTGATTTCATTGGACCTACCACAAGTCCTGGCAGGACACAATGAATAAGAAATTTGTTTTCAGTATTTGGAATAGTGAGGGCAGGGAAGAAAATCCGTGGAATCCGAGAATCCTAGAATATCCTGAGTTGGCAGGGACCTCTAAGGATCAAGTCTAATTCCTGGCCCTGTGCAGACAGCCCAACAATCCCACCCTGTGCCTGAGAGCACTGTCAAAATGCTCCTGCAGCTCTGTCAGCCTTGGATCTGTGACCATTCCCTGAGGAGACTGTTCAGTCCTGACCACCATCTGAGGGAAGAACTTCTTCCTAATTGATCTATTGGGATGCCCCCATGATACAGCTCCAGCTGTTACTGGGTTCCTGACCCAGGTCGCAGAGAACGGAGATCAGAATTGGCCCTCTGCCTCCCCTCAATATCCTCCAGACTGAATACATCAAGTGCCCTCAACTGCTACTCATACTCTTCCCCTCTAGACCCTTCCCCATTTCTGTGGCCTCCTTTGGATACTCTTTAACAGCTTTAGATCCTTCTTGTACTCTGGCATTCAAAACGGCACACCTATACTCCTATTTGGCCCCAAATGTGTGATTCTTCCCTGTGCTCCTGAATCACACAGGAAAAGCATCCCACTGGCAGGTAATAAGGAAAGTGCAAGTGTTGATGCCTCTGCATGACCCATTATGGGATGGCTGGATATGGAGGAGTAGCGGGAGGTTTGAAGGGCAAAGGATGTGACTTGTAAGGGGTTACACTAGGACAAAGCACACCAGAGCTAGCCAAACTTTGTGACCACCTGTCTAGATGTCACTCAAACGTTTTGGGAGGTATGAGAAGGAGGCAATAGTCACCATTGGTGGGGCTCACCCCAGAGCTGGTGCAAAAATGCAGCAGCTGGATCCTGTGAATCACTTTTCCAGCCTGAAATGCAGTTCCAGTTCTAATTGCCCCAAAATGTCAAACTGCGTGTGAGTCAGCGTGGCCTTCTGCCAGATTAACTACTAGGTCCACAGGTGGGAATGTATGCCAGTGCTTGGCCAGCATTATGTCTGCTGGTGAAGGTCTGATATGCAAGTGTGTCCATGGACTTACACATACTGCATTTGTATGAGACACTTGTCTGTCTGTTGGTGCTGTCCTCTAACCACACCATCCTCTCTATCCCTGTTTCCTGGGACGACGAGGCAAGCACCTCCAGTGCTGGCACAATCTGAAGGCCCCAGCAGTGGAGTACAGACATTTGGGAAGCAGAACGGTAGAAAAAGATCTTTGTGTCTTGGTGGACAGAAAGGTGAATAAAGTCCAGCAGTGGACCTGGCAGCAAAGGGAGGGCAGCAAAACCTGGACTGGGTTAACAGAGACAGGGCCAGCAGGCCAAGGGAAGTGATTATCCCCTTCTCCTCAGAACTCTTTAGAGTACAATTTTTTGCCACCTTCTACACATCTGAAGCCACCGAGTTCCCTCCCCACAGGCACTACTGGTACCCCAATATTTCTCAGAATCCCATTACCTTTGCCTCTCCTTGCAACTCTTCCCTGGAATTCTTCACACAACAAGCACTCCAGGTCACTCCAGGAATCCAAGACCTCTCAATACCACCTAGGAACCCCAAAGTCCCCAGGACCCCCTATTCTACCCCACCATCAACCCCCACAAATCCTGGCACCCCCAGGACTCTATTGTCTTAGGATCCCCCATGCACCTCAAGATCCCTCTCAGTCCTGAGACACACACATACACCCTCGTACCCAGTGAACACAGGCATACAAAGCCCCAGTTCCCAGCACCACCCACCCAGAACACTCAGGTCACTGATCTCCTGCTCTCATCCTCTTCCTTGTGAGAAGATCCTGGATGTCTGGGTTCCCCACCAGAAACAACAAGACACAGACAGACAGTTCAGAAAGCACTTTTATTCAACCCAAGTGTGGGGGGAAATTGGGGGTTTCCCAGCTCCCAGTGAAGGGCTCAGACAAGAGGACCGAATATTCCTAGAGGCACAGGGCTACAGTGTGGGGAATCTTTATGTTTCACAGGTACATAACAGTCTGGGTCATGTATCCTGAGGGTGAAGGGTTGCTGGAAACCACAGAAGGAACCCACTCTGGGAGAGAGATCTGGACACTTTTGTCCCATAGAGGTATCCATGGATGCTACCTGGGTATCCCAGTATGGCGTGCAGAGAGTATACCCTAAGCATTATTGGGAGTTTCTGTTGATCTCAAGGGGTCCTTAAGGGAGCTGGGAGCACGCAAGGAAGGGGGAACAGTGAGAACACAGGCTTGTAGGTCAGTATAGGCATGGGGCAATGTGCCTCTGGTGATCCAGCGCCGGGTACCCGGCTGATAGGCGTGGATCAAGTGTGTGTCCTGGTAGGTCTCATGACTGTACCCTCCCAGTACAAGCAGTTCCCCTCCCAGCACAGCTGCACCCCCAACTACATGTGCACGGGGGAGGGGGCTAAGGAGGACCCAGATGTTCTGCTTGGGGCTGTAGACCTCAAAGGTCAGCTGGTCCCTGTAGCCAGTCTGCCCAGCCCGCTGACACAGGCCTCCAGCCACATAGAGCTGCCCACCTGCCTCCTCCATGACGTGGCCAGCTCGCTGGCCATTCATGGGGGCCAGGAGTGTGACAGGTGCACCTGGGACATAGCGGAGCAAGGATGCCTGACACTGGTATGCTTCATCACACCCACCCGACACGTAGAGCTCACCATCCAGGGCACACGCTGCATGCCCACACAGAGCCATTGGCAGGGGCTGGCACCGCCTGGGCAAGGAGAGAGGGAGGGGTGAAGGACAGGTTAAGCAGGGCTGTCCTGCAGTGACTGACTACCTAGGGGTTCCCTGGTGAGCCATGGCTTCATGGCTCAGAAGGCAACACTTGCCAATATCCAATGAGCCCCAGTGGACAACAACAGCTGACACTGAATGAATGCCCCAGGGGCGCCACTGTTCAACACTTTGTAGTTGTCACACCATTGGTCAGCCACAGTGGGCTCCCTCAATGGACAACATTGGCCATCACCCCATGAACAGTCTGCCTATGAGAGGAATCAAGCTACTTTTCTCATTGGCAGATGGCCAACAAGACCCGCAGTGAACACACTACTGGCCAAAATCTCATTTGCCACACACTCAGCAACACTGGTCAACACCCAGTCCCCAAGGGACATGGTTGTTCAATACCCAGTAGACCTTTCTCAAATACCACTGTAGGTCCGTCCTCCACTGGAGGCTTAGTGACCTCAGCACTAAGTGGGCACCATGGCCAAGACAAGGGGCTCTGAGAGAAAAAGGAAACTAGACACCTGCTGGAGCAACCTCACCTCCAGGTGTCATTGGCCAGGTCGTAGCACTCCACAGTATCTGTGCAGTAGAGCTCGCCTGAGCTGCCCCCCAGGGCATAGATGAAATTACCAAGTGCCACAGCAGCAAAGTAGCTCCGTCCACATGTCATACTGGCCAGACGCTCCCAGGAATCATCCATAGGCTGGTACCTGGGTTTGAGAGGCAAAGGAACAAGAGACTACCTGTTATCTACAACACCATGAGCTGATGTTGGCACCACTGAGGACAACAACCCACCTACAACTTGCCAGTCCCATAATGCCTTGAGGTCACATGGTCATCTTGCATGAGAATATCCCCTCCTTTTGGACAATAACAAACCCATAATGTCCTGAGGCATCTCCAGATAGAAGCCTCCTGCTCCTACTCCCAAAAAGCGTGTAACACCCCAGAGTAGGAGGGCACCTCTGAGTCCTACACCCACCCCTTCCCAGAATGTCTTGGGGCCACTTGACCAGCTGCAAAGCCACAATGTCTTGGATCCACAGGGCAGCTCTAGCTCTACCAATACCTCCCACAATGTCCTGGTACCAGATGGCAACTCTAAGTCCTCTGTAGCTCTCACCTGTAGACACTGGCTAGGGTGTCATGGACCCCATAGTAGTGCTTTCCACCCAGGATGTAGAGGTTGTTGCCCACCACAGTTACAGCATGACGGAAGCGTGGGCCATCAGGAAAGTGTCCCAGTGCCCGCCACTCAACCTGCTTCACCAGCCCCACAGCACTGAGGTAGCGGTCTGCAAACCACAGGTGTCTGCTGGGTTTCCGGGCAGTCAGGTTGTCCTTTACTTTGTCTCCACCACAAACTACCAACACCTCTTGCAAGGAACGTACCCGGCATGGCAGCTGGGCCATGGGGGTGAAACTTGCTACCATGAGCTCGCGGAGGATCTTTGGGTCAGCTACTCCTGCAGTCACAGATGCTACTTTCTTCAGCTCCAGGCTGGACATGAGGGCAAAGCGAACTGATGACAGGATCTCTTTGGCTAGATCCTCCTGGACATCTCCATTGGCCATAAGCCACCGAGATGCTGCTTCCAAGGCTTCCAGTTCGTGGAGGACATTGAGACCATCAGAGCGGAGGAGGCGGATGAGAAGGTGCGCAGGAAGATCCAGGAAGGCTGGTGTAACCACCACACAGGGGAAAGTGGCCAAGATGTAGTTCTCTGCTACATGGACCACCTCATCCAACCCATAGGCCACAGCAAAGACCAGCACATCAGGGACAGTTTCTGGGGTCAGACCATGGGTGAAAACATCCAGGCAGAGAGTGAGAAGCCCCCAGGCCTGGTAGCGCAGGGAGGTCTCAGCTGCCTCCAAGACCATGGGCCACGGCCCTGCTACAGCTCCTGTGTAGGCAAAGGAGAGGAGGAGACGC